ATTACTGAATAGTTGAAATGACACAGTAGGCGAAGTGATTATGATATAATCTTATTTTTTAAAAACCATGGAAATATTAAAAAATGCCAAGTTTATGCTGACAGCGTCAAATAGGACAATTTTCCGCAGTTTTAGTTCCGATTGGAAAATCGATTATTGTTAATAAAGGCTTTTGTCATTCCGGCTATAAGACAGTGCTTTACGGCTGCGTCGCTTTGCTTCGCGTCCACGAAACGCTGACTACGGCTGTTATGACAAAAAATAGTGGGCGTCAAACGGGCAAAAAAAATTTGTCGACCAATATGATTGTTGTAAACCTCATCTTCGCTAGAAAAGTTTTTTTCGGCCTAATGACAAAATATATTGTTTCAAACCCCGTCCATAGGAAATTGATTCGGAAAAAAATCAACTTAGCACGCCGGGCTGTTCGATAATAAACATACTTCGTAGGAAGTGAATCATTGACAAAGCTAGAGTTCGCGCGCTAATCGACAAAACGCCAAACAATTGAGATTTGATTCAGCTTAATATATCACAATTGGATTCCGCATACCTGACGTGTCCCTAACCTATTCACCAATGAACGTCAAATAGCATATCGGTATGAGGAGAGTGGGTACCCGTCAGTGTGATGGCGCGTTCATAAGCGACGCATGGTGGCACACTCACATTATGAGACACAGGCAAAGAGTGGGGGACGAAGATCATCAGTGAATAGTTTTAAATGAGATGTAGTGCTTATACATGATAAGATGTCCGTAACGACTGAAGTAATTACATAATTATCAATCGATGCATTCAATCAATAATCCACTTACGAATTTATGACTTGCTAGGGAAATGCAAAAATATACTTGTAATTTTGTACTATGTTCCCGGCAACGTAATGATACTCAGTGAATTGAAGGGGAAAAATTAGGCGCGCCAAGTTGACTTTTTTCCGAATCAATTTCCTATGGACGGGGTTTGAAACAATATATTTTGTCATTAGGCCGAAAAAAACTTCTAGCGAAGATGAGGTTTGCAACAATCATATTGGTCGACAAATTTTTTTTGGCCGTTTGACGCCCACTATTTTTTGTCATAACAGCCGTAGTCAGCGTTTCGTGGACGCAAAGCAAAGCGACGCAGCCGTAAAACACTGTCTTACAGCCGGAATGACAAAAGCCTTTATTAACAATAATCGATTTTCCAATCCGAACTAAAACTGCGGAAAATTGTCCTAGTTGACGCTGTCAGCATAAACTTGGCATTTTTTAATATTTTCATGGTTTTTAAAAAATAAGATTATATCATAATCAGTTCGCCTACTGTGTCATTTCAACTATTCAGTAATTGTCCCATGTTTCTGTCTTGGAGGCGATCAGATTCACGTCGATTTGCCGCCATTTTTTCAAAAAAATTTTTTGTGATATTTTAAATTTAATATTTATATGATTTTTTAAAAAATTGTGTGATTTCATCCATGCAGTTATTATCCCATGCTTCTATCTTGCGTTTAAATTGGCGTCGGCTTGGCGCCATTTGTTCACAACATTGTTTTATGATTTTTTTTATGTTAATAATTACCAAACAAATGATGCATTCAAAAGTATTGGTACCTGTTTTAAGCCTCTCTGACATGTCTTAGTTAATCATAGTAATTTTCCTCAACGAAATATAATTTAAATATTCATGTTTCAGTTTTTATTCAGTCATTCAAGTTGATCATTGAAAAATATTACATAAAAAATTTAAATTTGGAGGTAATATTTTAATTCAAATATTAACACTCGATTCCATTCGTTAAAAGGTAATTCACAAATATTAGGTTATTTAGGTAATTAAATAAAGATTAAAATGCTCGAAGATTGAAGCACTGAAAATTTTTAATTTAAAGGATTAAATTTGGGTGCAATATTGAAATTAAATATTAACAATTGATTCCAATTGTTACAGGGTCATTTACAAACATTAAATTATATGTTTAATTAATTTATGATTAAAATTTTCGAATTCTAAATATTGAAAAATTGACTAAAGTAAAATTTTTAATTGGGTTGTTATATTCAAATCATTAAATTATCAACAATCGATTTCAATTGCTAAAGAGTAATTCACAAATATTAGGTTATTTAGGTAATTAATTTTAACTGAACTAAAATTTTTAATTTGGTTGTTATATACAAATCATTAAATTATTAACAATCGATTCCAATTGTTAAAGGGTAAGTCACAAATATTAGGTTATTTAGGTAATTAATTTTAACTGAACTAAAATTTTTAATTTG